TTTTCTTTCTTTTTTTTTATTCTTTTCTTCTTTTTTTCTTTTTGTTTTTGAATTCTTTCTTTTCTTTTCTTTCTTTTTCTTTTTTCTTTCTTTGTAATTGTTTGGACAGAAAGCCTGACGTTGGTCCAACTGACCGCGAAGGGCATTGAACAATGAAACACAATTTAAAACCTTGTGACATTTGACCTTTCACCTTTCACCTTTTGACTAATTGGTGTACACTTATGCTGTGCGCTTTGGTTTCAAGAGGGAAATCCATCTATGCGTCTATGCTCTTACGAACATTTCTTGACTCGCTTGAAGGTCGAGATGCTGCTAAATAATATTGCTAAAATGCAAAATCACAATAAAAAAAAGGAGTAAAATTCCTAATGTTTATAATCAGAGACAGTTAAACTTTTTCACTGGCAAACAGAACAAAAAGAAAAATCAGCTTCTAGATTGTAATAAAGTGGCTCATTCATGTACTTTAATGGGTTTGATTTCAAAATAAATCATCTAATTTGGGGATCTTAGTGTTCATACAGGGGATTCGGATACTTTATCTTCCTTAAATAATTCTACCAGAGGTGGGACGGATGGAAACGAATGCCAAATTGAACTAATGATGTAAAGTGAGGAAAAAAGGTTCGTGTCTATGCAATAGCGTATCGCGGCGTTACTATAAATAGACTTCACGCGCGGTGGCATCCCCCGAATGACTCAGACAAAGTTCAAAATCCACAACAACTCTCTTTGAGATTTGTACTCCAGCAAAACGCCAAAACCTTAAAAACATGTGAAATGATATGCTTAGAACTAAGTATTGCTTAAGGTGCCGTGTCTAAATGGGCATCTTTACTATGTAGTTTAAAAATAAATGAAAATCCAGTTCACCGTAGATAAAAATGTGATAAGAAGAGATAACTAGCTAAAACCCAGTGTGAGCTGCGTCGGTGTTTCTAATAAAACAGTAATGATAAAAGGAAAAAATTAAGGGTAAATTTTAGTCCGTTGAAGGACTAGCGTCCGAAACGTCAGTAAGTATTTTCATCTTTTCACGGTGTTTACCCTTTTATCATTACTGTTAGATAAAAATGTGTTTAGTGGCAAGTTTCAAGTCGTTTGGGACTTACATTTAAGCGATAGTATTGGGTTTTCTGGAACGTTTGTTTCCAAATTCGCGATATTTATAAGCGAACGTTGAAGGTAACAGCCTGTAATTTACAGAGAATGTACGGGAATGTTTTTCGAGCCACGGCGGGGGTCTTATTTTCGTGACTTAAAAACAGCGCTGCGCTATTATGAGCGCGTTAACTTATAAATCGAACCAGTTTGTTACTACCTGCCGTATCGTAAATAAGAGGGGAGATAAAGACATGACGTGATTGACTCACTTCTAAAATCACACTTTCTCCAAGAAAAGAATAATTATTCGTTCACGTTCTTTGCGAAAGCTCAAACATGAAGAGAGTTTCTCAACTGGGGCTTGGTTTCCTCTTTTGTTTTGTGCTGTTTTCGTTTGTATTTTTCTCGGCAAAATGTAGCGATCTCGATGTTGTATCTCAGAAAAGAAACGAAGTAAAATCAAAAGAAAACGACGAAAGACGTAAAAACACAGAAATTGAAAGAATATATGATGAAGGTAAACATGAAAACACTATTACAACGATTGCAAAGTATGATAGACATCGCTCGTTAATTATACCATAATTCTGGCTTTTTTTCCTTCTTTTTTTGTTATTTCCTTCTTTCTTTTCTCTTTTTTATATTTTTATATTTTTTAACTTTGTTCCCCCCTTTCTTTCGTTTATTTTTTTCATTTCTTCGTTTCTTCTTTCTTTTTGTTTTTCGTTGTTGTGGGGTTTTTTTTTTTTTTATCATCCATCCGCCCTTCTTTAGTTCTTACGTTTTAGTCCTTCATTAGTCCTTTTTTTGATTCGTTCGTTCGCTCATTTGTTTTTTCCTTCCTCCATTTTCGTCTTTTCCTCATTCGTCTCTCATTCATTTATATTTTCTCACGAGTCCTATTCTTCATTATATATTTAACTTCAATAAAAAACTTTCTTCCTTCAACCTACATATGCAACGCATATTAAAAGGAATTTATCGAAAGAACGGATTTGCTGCCGTTTCTAAAGCAATTTTGAAAATCGGAAAAGCAGTCGAACCAGAGATGGCTACCATCACGAATAACAGCATGTCAGCCATGGACGCTATTTCTCGCTGTTGTAAGAAGTACCCTGAAGCATGCGATGCAAACAAGAGGGTTGTAGAGCATCAAGGACAGATACAAAACACAGCTGATCTCATTCAAAACATACAACTTGAAGGTGAGTGTGTTTTATCGCTTGATGCTCAATGCGTTATAATGGTATTGGCCAATATCGAAGTTGGGAGAAAAAATCCTGGTCGAGTACACATTGCAGTGCATTGTGGGACTGTTTTGGTGAAAAAATACCAAATGACATCTTTGAAACACGTACCTTAAAACAGTCCCACAATTTATTACAATCACAATTCGACCAAATTAGTTCTTTGCCCTCTTTTAAGGTGGCTAATTCTCGTACTTAGAATGCAATTAAAATGTTTGTAGGTAGGGGAACAAAGAAACTAGATCCACTTCGTAGTTTGAGTTATCTTCATTGAAAGCTTTCGGCTATATTGGCCATCCTCAGGCTGAATCATTTAACGACTTACAACAGCGGGAGCAAACTATTCGGAAACGATCGGAGACGTGATGGACGATGCACAGATGTACGGACGATGTGGGTTGGTGGGTTGGTGGGTTGGTGGGTTGGTGGGTTGGTGGGTTGGTGGGTTGGTGGGTGTTTCCATTTAGCAATAACATTAAATGACGTACTAATTTAGAAAAAAACAAAAACAACAACAAACAAACAAACAAAAAAAACAAAACAAACAAGCAATTGTTGCCAATAAATTATTATGGAATTTGAAGCTCAAAATCTTCAAAAATGGACCGAATCCACCCAAAACAAGTTTTCGGTGATGATCATCGAGTTGAGCAAAATAATCGAGGACTCAGAGATGGTTATGAAAAGCGTCTCCCCTGAAACTATGGACCAAATGAACAAGAAAACATCTGAGGTTAAAGTAAGTATCAATAAAAACTCTCAACTTCATCAACCCTGAAGCAACCTCTGGGCTGATCTAAGTCAGGGCATGGCTAACTCACAGATCAAACCCTGAAACAATCTCTGGGCTGATCTAAGTCTGGGCACAGCTAGCTCACATATAGAACCCTGAAGCAACCTTTTTGCTGATCTAAGCCATTGCACCGCTAACTCAGAACCCTGATCAGGGCACCACTAATTAACAGATGGACAAAAAGAAAACAATTTTTGCAACGGTAAAAATCCTAGGAACAAGGGAGATAAATGGTAAAGCAAACATAACCATTAAGTAGCTTTCTATCGTAATCTTTTCTGTAGAAGACAGTCGAGAAGAAAATCAAGAGTGGTAAAAAAGTAGAATATGACGAAATCAATATCATGCTCAGCCAAGCTTACAAATCGGTCATTAGCAGCACCACGAAGATCTTTAACATTCTTCTAGAAAGCATCCCAAAGGTCATTGAGTTTGCAACTGATAGAGTGGCAAACAGAAGGGCAAAGAAGGTACGACGGTTTATGCCTCTCTTCTCTCATTTTATCTGTGCTGTGCTGTGCTGTGCTGTGCTGTGCTGTGCTGTGCTGTGCTGTGCTGTGCTGTGCTGTCAACGACACCCACAGTAGTTTTTTTTTTCTTTTTTACTCGTTTATCGTAGTTAGAAGATCTTGGTACCTCTGATCCAAACCAATCACTAGAATCACGAGGCTGGCTGGTTAAGAACAGAAAACAAATTTTTCATGACTTAGCCATCATAAAGAAAAACCTTCAAGCTGAATACTTCAAAGCGACAAAAACCCTTAATGAAGTGAGCAAGAATGTGGATATCTTACACAATTTTCTTTCAACAGGTAAATGGAGAAATTCACAGTATGTAATAAACACCGTACAGGAAAATCGTCGAAATGATTGAAAAGCGTACACGCAGTCGTACACGCATGCGCCAAATTGTTTTGAAAGCAAACATGGCCGACGGAAAGATTTAAATACCACACGAACATTTTTTTGCGGTTTTCATCTGTAGGTGGCTTTTTTAAGTATATTATTTTGAAATTTTGTTTAAGAAATAAAGTTTATTATAACGTTTAAATATTTTTATTATTAGTTGATCTATTTGAATAATGTATAATAAAACATTTATTGAATTCGGATTTGATGATATCCGGTATTATCAATGTCGAGGCAAATGTTATTGTCAGCCTACGGCTTCGGCCAAAAACACTTGCCTCGACATTATATATATTGATAAATCCCCATATCATTAAAACCTCATACAATAATTGCTTAATATGATAATAACAATAATAATATTAATATTAATATTAATAATAGTAATAATAATGATAATGATAACATAATATCTAAAACATAATACGTTGTCTAAATTTTATATATTATAAGAAAAAAAATAAGAAGAGATTAGAAAAATCTACTTCATATATTATAAGAAAAACTATTTTGTTAGGTAATAAGCTGTACAGGAAAGTAAAATCCGCTAGGAGTTGTTGCCAGAAAAGAAATTACGTTTTGGATGCAGCAGCAGAACTGAATAAAGCTTTACCGTTGATGCAAAATGTTCTAGCTGAGGTGAGAACCTCGAAAAGGATTATTGAGCAGGTAAGTGGTGTAGCTGATACTAGAGAAAAACGTTTGCGCATGCGTGCACTTAAGCACGTTTTCTAAGAATTTTGAAGATTTTGAGTGAGAAAATAAATGTTTGTTTCCTCCAAGTATACAAAAAAGTTCGTGAGTATACTTTTGTCTGACCAAGATACTGTATTAACAAACAAAATATGAAAGAATTAGCCTTAACTTTCAAGCATGAACGCTAAGTGTTGGCATTTTGTGAAGTCCAATTTATCAGGCATGCTTGAAGGTCACATTTACATATGTTTTGAGTAATTTGCATACGGCTTAGAAATTAACTTGGTCGGCTGTGAATTAGTATAGGAAATCGCACGATCTCGATTACAATTCGGAATTGATAGGTAAGAGTGATTGGACAGCGACCGAAAGCGAGTCCAATTTGAGAACTCTTAAAACATCTCGAGTATCTATGAATTCCGAATCATACGAGAAAATCGTTATATATATTTTTGTTTATAATTCATCTGCTCGAATACTCGCGTCTCGGTAAATATTCCCCGATATTCACTGAGCGAATAATTATATTAAAATATATTTATTTAATAATAATTAGCGCATTCTTATTGAGTCC